TTGTTCTTTGTATAATAACCATTAATTTGGTCAGTAGTTTTGGTTTTTGTAAATATCGTGGCGCCCGTTTGAATAGGAGTAAATTAGGAATCTTGGATATTCGAAATCCAATAAAGTTCTATAGAATTTAAAGCATATATTCCTATTATCTTGGATCTTGTCAAAATCTATTGTTTGGATTGTTTAATGACTAGGATAGTTAAAATGAGGAAAATCAAAATCATGGAAATAAAACCTACTTTTCCATGATTTCATTTCCACACCAAAACTTGTTTTTTTTTTAATTTCCAAGGCCCATGAGTTTCATTCATTGGCTCCCTCGACACAAAAAATAAGGAGCATTTGGTAGGTATGAAAATTTTATATAGAGAAAGTATGTTTAAGTTTTAGAGAGAGAAAATATTAATTTTTTTTAGCGAAATGAACTATTTCCAAATTTTAGAGACAAACTATCTCAATTTTTTAGAGAGAGAAAGTATGTTAAACAATTAGAGAGAGAAAGTATGTTAAAATTTCAGAGAGAGAAATTACCAAACATTTTAGAGAGAGAAACTATCTCAAATTGTAAGTTTTAGAAAGAAACTATCATATTTTAGAAAGAGAAAGTACATGCAAATTTTAGAGAGAAACTATCTTAATTTGTTAGAGATAAACTATTTCAAAAATTTTAGAGAGAGAAACAATCTCATATTTTTATTTTTAAAGAGATAAGCTATATCAAATTTTAGAGAGAGTAACTAAATTTTTTTTGAAATATAAACTGTCAAAAAAATTTAGGGAGATAAAGTATATCAAATCTTAAGTTTTAGAGAGAAAAATAATTTTTAAAATTGTAGAGAGAGAAAATATTTTTAAACTTTTAAAGATAAACTATTACAAATTTTAGAAAGAAAAACGGTCAAAAAAAATGTAGAGAGAGAAATATCTCGTTTTTTAGATAGTGAAACGATCTCAAATTCTAGATAGTGAAACTATATCGAATTTTTAGAGAGCGAAACTATTTCGTTTAAGAGATAGTTTATCTCTTAATGTGTTTTCACTATCTATTTAAAATTGTATCTCTTAATGCGTTTTCACTATCTATTTAAAATTTTTTCTCTTAATGTGCTTTCACTATCTCGAATTTTAGATAGTTTCACTATCTCGTTTAAGAGATAGTGAAAAAACGAGATAGTTTCTTAATATGTAGTGAAGCTTAGTTTCTTATTTAGTTTAAGAGATAAGCTATCTCGAATTTTAAATTTTAGATAGAGAAAACACATTAAAATTTTTGAAATATAAATTATATCAGAATTTAAAGAGAAACTTCCTAACAAATTTTTAAGAGAAAAACTATCTCAAATTTTTTGAAAAGAGAAACTATCACAAAATTTATGTTTTAGAGAGAAAAATTATATTAAAATTTTCAAGAGATAAACTATATAAAATTTTAAATAGAGAAAGTACATAAATTTTTTAGAGAGGGAAACTATCTAAAAAAATAGAGAGAGAAATTATCTCAAAATTTAAGTTTTAGAGAGAGAAAGTATCTCAAATTTTAAACTTTATAAAGAGAAAACATATTAAAATTTTCGAAATATAAATTATATTAAATTTTAGAGAGAGAAATTACCTAAAAAATTTTAGCGAGAAAAACTATCGCAACATTTTTTAAGAGATAAACTATCGCAAAATTTATGTTTTAGAGATAAAAAATATATTAAAAATTTCAAAAGATAAACTATATAAAATTTTAAATAGAGAAAGTACATGAAATTTATAGAGAGATAAACTATCTCAAAAAAAATTAAAGAGATAAACTATCTCAAAATTTAAGTTTTAGCGAGAGAAAGTATCTCAAACTTTAAACTTTAGAGAGAGAAAATATATCAAAGTTTGAGAGACACTATATCAAGTTTTAAAGAGAGAAACTATTTCAAAAGTTTTAGAGAGATAAAGCACATTAAAAATTAAGAGAGTAACTATATCAATTTTTAGAGAGAGAAAATATATAATTTTTTTTAGAAAAAGAAACTATCACAAAATTTTTAGAGAGAAATTATCTCAAATTTTAGCTTTTAGAAGGAGAAAATATCTTAAAATTTGAGATAAAAACTATATCATATTTTAGAGAGAGAAATTACTTAAAAATGTTTAGAGAGATAAACTATATCAAAATTATTGAAGAGGGGAACTATCTCAAGTTTTAAGTTTTAGAGAGATAGAGAGAGTATCTTAAAATTTAAAAAAGAGAAATTATATTAAATTTTAAAGAGAGTAAATCATCTAAAAAAATTTAGAGAGAGAAATTATCTCGAAATTTTTAGATAGACAATTTTAAATTTTGGATAGATAGTATATTAAATTTTAGAGATACAAGCTATATCAAATTTTAGAGAGAGAAACTAGCTTAAAATTTTATGATACACTATCCCAAATTTTGAGTTTTAGAGAGAGAAAGTACATACAAATTTTAGATTGAGAAATTGAATCAAGTTTTGTTACCAAACAATGGACGTAGTAGTGATTGCAAGTTTTCAATATCAAGGATTTTTTTCATAGATTCCTCAAATCTCCTGTTTGGATTCCTTACAATCATTTTCAATTCTATTATTTGGTAACAAAATTTGATAAAGATTTTCTCTTTACAACTTTATTATACCTTTTCTCTCTAAAACTCAAAATTTGGGAGAACCTCTCTCTAAAAAATATGAGATAGTTTCTCTCTCTAAAATTTGATATTATTTACCTGTAAACTTTGAATACACTTTCTCTCCAACGCATAAAACTTAAAATTTGTTATCTAAAAATTGAGATTATTTATCTCTCTATTATTTTCAAGTGCTTTATTATTAAAAAAATTCAGATACTTTTTCTCTCTAAAATTTAATGTAGTTTTTCTCTCTAAAATTCTAAGATACTTTCTCTCTAAAACTTAAAATTTGAGATATAATTTTGAGATAGTTTCTCTCTCTAAAAATGTTTTGGTAGTTTTTCTCTCTAAAATATAATATAGTTTTTCTCTTTTAAATTTTAAGATACTTTATCTCTCTAAATCTTAAAATTTGTGACAATTTATCAATAAATTTTTTGAGATAGTTTCTCTCTCTAGAAATTTTTAGGTACTTTTCCTCTGTAAAATTTGACATAGTTACTTTTTTACATTTTTAAGATTATTTTTCGCTCTAAAATTTAAAATTGGAGATAGTTTCTTTTTCCAAAAAATTTGAGATAGTTTCTATCTAATTTCAAGTATTTTCTCCATCTAAAATTTGGTATAATTTATCTCTCTAAAATTTTAAGATAGTTTTTCTCTCTCAAACATAAAATTTGTGATAGTTTATCTCTTTAATAATTTTAAGCACTTTCTCTTTAAAAAATTTGCGTACTTACGAAACGTGTCCTATGTTTCGGGTCCAAGGGGCCAACGAGTGGAATCCATGAAGTTTGGAAATTCAAATAAATAGGTTTTGGTGTGGAAATGAAATCGTGGAAAAAGTAAGTGATTTCCAAAATTTTTAAGTTCTATGGAATTCTAATATCCTAACAATTGAACAAATCAAACAGCGGATTTCAGTAATATGCAAGATATTAAAAATCCATGCACAGGAATTGATGGGCCGGAACCGGGCCTAAGAGTCCCAAGCTTCTTTTAAGTTTTTTTTTTTTTTTAATTATTTTTATGATTTTGCTCCCAAATCCAACGAGCTAAATGGAATGGCGAGTCGGAGGCTTTTGTGCGCGAAGTGGATGAGACACAAAGGTTGGTCAAGAGAGTACAACAACAGACTCTACTCACTTCATTTCTCTCGCTCTCATATTCCCAACGGAGTCAAACCGCTTCATTTCCGCTCGTACACGTGGCGCATCTTAAGTGACAAATCTATCCAAAGTGGACCCATCTCCCATGTATTTTCCAAATGCCGCAAAAATAGCACAAACATCCCTAATTAAAAATACCCCTAATTAATTTCAAAATTCCAAAACATTCATAAACCTCAAAAAGTAACATGAACCTCCCTAATTAAAGTACCCCTAATTAATTTCAAAATTCCAAAACATCCATCGATCATCGAGGGAAGTCTTGAGGCCATAGGGGTGGCAATGGGTCTGTCCAGTTCGACCTAAACCCGGACCTAGCTCCTGACTCAAACCTGAATGTATTTGGGTTCAGGTTTTAGACCCAATCCTGACCTATTGATTCAAAAGTTGGATCAATACCTGTACCCATCGGATCTCAAGTCTATTACGTCGGGTCTTGAGTCTACTTGGGTCCTTTGCCACCAACTTTATGAGTGGTTTTTTTTTTTTTTCATTTTTTTTACTATCATATACCCGTATTATTGACAACAAGGTCACAATTATCGGCCATCAGATTTCAAGCTGTTTCATTTTTGTTTACTGGCTTAGAATGACTGCGAATTTTTATTATATATACCCAAATAAATACGGCTTGAAGTATTTTATTTCAATAGGTCGGGTCCAACCAGATCTGAATAGTATTCAAATCCAAATTTTTGAGCCCAAACCCTACCCGTATGTCCAAATATTAGATCTATACCCTGCATGGAGTATACCGACCAGGTATTGAGTCGATTGCCACCCCTACTTGAGGGTATAAGGGGATTTTGTAGGGTGAAGATAATAACATCCCTAATTAATTTCAAAATTCCAAAACATTCATAGATCATTGAAGGGAGCCTTGAGGGTATTAGGGGGATCTTAAGCATTATTGTATTATCCACAGCGAAATAACGACAGAGCATGAAAGACGTTTTTTTGGGAGAGTTAGGTTGCTTATTTCGAAATTTGTATCCTTCATAGGGGTATTTTCGTAGTAGAACGGGGTGAACGTCGTGTGTATATATATATCCCGTATTTACTATAAAAAAGAGAAGGGTTTGGTAATGTTAAATATTCATGTGTGCGCTTTCTATTGGTCCACGTGGCATCCGTGTACCCGACATCTGCAGGGTGGGGTTTAGGGCGTCTGGTGGCGGAGTCCTCTGTCGAACCACCAACGAAAACCTAAAATCATCAAACGAAACCTTAGAGAGAGAAACCAAAACTTAGAGAGAGAGAAAGAGTGCTGCTGCTCCAGAAGAGAGAGAGAGTGCTGCTGCTCCAGAAGAGAGAGAAAGAGTGCTGCTGCTCCAGAAGAGAGAGAAAGATAGCAGTCTCCTCATTCGCGCTTTTGAGTCCACTTTCCGTGCGCGTGTACATGAAGTCTTTTTAGAGAGAGAAAGTTAGAGAGAGAAGATAGAGAGAGAGAGGCTATCGCTTCTAGAGCTGTAAGCTTTCATCTTGCTTTCCTCTTCTTCTCTCATTAGTTTCTTAGGGTTGCCATCTTCATTAACGAGAGGCCCTCCTCCGGAACATGCTGGTCGCGAAGAGCGCGACTCTTCAGAATCCGGTCAGATTCGAGTCCTTTCTCTCTCTAGAACCCTATGAAATTAATGGATGCAATAGAAAAAGAGGTCGGTACAAGCTCACTGATTCTATTCTCAGATTGGGATTCGTTCTCGTTGTCAATGTTGTGATTAGTTTCATTCTCCAAAAAGGGGTTTTTTGAGTGCAAAGGTCTTATCTGAGTCGAGAGTTCATTATTCAAAAAGGGGGTTTTTTGGTTGTAAAGGTCTTGTCCTGTTCAAGTGCGCAATCTACCAAGTTATTATCACTATCCGGATCACTATTTTTTTTTTTTTGGGGTTATGGATGTGATGGAGCTTTTGCCTTCAAATGTTGCGGTATCTAAGCTTTTAGCTACTGAGGGGTTTGGAAGAAGTGAGGATACTGTTGTTAGGAGATCCATGGATGCCCCAGTTTTCAGCAACCTTTCAGCTACTAGTTGCAGTTCTTCGCAAGGTGGGCCTTATAATATTCTCGGTCTTCTCTCCTTTTCTCTATATTTCTGTCTTTTCTCGTTTAAATACAGTGATTGGTATATGCTTCTTCCTTACATGATGTAACTTGACGAGTTTATGACCAGGAATCCAGTGCTCATATATAGTTGGGAAGCAATGATATGGATTTGATTGTTGTCTTATTGCTTGCATGATGGATTGGATTTGGATCTCACCTACACATATAGTATACACCATGATTATGTGGATGCTTGCTAGTTTTTGATACATGCATAGATTCCAATTTGTTTTTTATTTGTTCTGTGGGTTACAACATCGTTTTTGGGGCCTTGGCTACATAATTTCAAAATTCTCGAGAATCTTGCGAACTTGATCTGAATGTGTCTTTGAAAGATTGGTCTTTAATTCTGCATGCTTTATATGAGAGAAGTCTCGGCTCAATTGTTGTCCTAGAACTACAGGACAAATGGGCATTACCATAAAAGCTTTTGTGGGAGGTTCACCATTAGTTAGTTTTTTTTGGCACATGGTAGGCATATGTGCGTGGGCGTGAGGCATTCTGCAGTACACTCTCCTAAAGTTTTGTGTTTTTCATATTTGTCATGTAAGGGTGCGCTAACATCCTTTTGACTTCCCCCTTGAAGTTTATGTTAAATGTGTTTTCTTAGTATATTGATACCATGCTTTGTCAGTTAGTCTAGATTGAGCTGGTATAAAGTAAAACACAGCTCATATTTTTATTTGGGTCTTCTAGAGTGATTCATACATCGTAGGTTGGCACTCTGAGTGGGAGGAGTGGATTATTTGGCTCATGGTTGATTCAGTTACCCATTTTTGTTTTTTATCTTAGTTTCGTCATAGTCTCCTACTCTCCTTATTGCTGTTGCTTGAAGTATTGGTAAATTGGTCTATTTCAAAGATGATAAATGGTTAGCCAGAATGATGTGTTGTTGGAAAGTAAAACAACACCATCTATGTTCATTAGGTAGTTCCCTACTAATGTATATATGGGCTAAGTGATGTTTTCCACTATAACTTGTATTGTTATTTTTTGTTGATAACAAATTTTATAAAGTAAAAGAAATACAAGGAGAATACAATTGCTTTCTGAATTGTGACTTCTATAGATTTAGAGTTGGAAATGTGTATGTATGCGGGCAGGACCATAGTTGTTGGAGACGGGAGCGGGATCGGTTCGGGAATCACCAAACCGTTCTATTGCGGAAGTTCTCTGGGTTAAGGATCGGCGTCCGTACAATGAACAAGAGAGGAACGAGATCCTTACATTTATGGGAGCGAGATCCCATATCAATAGCTTCGAGGTTTTGATTGGCAAGAAACTAAGCTTCACAACATATTAACCGAGGTTGTCAAGTAGAGCTAGTACGGGTTCCCTTGGTTAAGGGATCGATGTTCCGTTTGTCATATAACAAGGTTCCTCTTGTTCTAATATTGAGATTCTTCAAGTATAGGAATCAAGTTCCTCAGTTGATTGGTCCCAAGGTCCGCAATTTCCATTTACGAGGGACCCCTCTATCGGGCACTTTTCTATATAGTTTGTAGTCCACACTCCAAAGTCCAATATGTATGACATCCTCTAGTTAAATAAATCCATAGTACCCTATTTCTATACATCACATGCTTACATGGTGCTTGATAAATGTTAAATACTTTTAGGCACTTTACTATATAGTCCATGTTCCATAGTCCAAAATCTAATATGTATGACATCCTATGTTTAAATAAGCGCATTGAATCATATTTTTACTATGTAGTCTGTAATCCACCCTCCAAAGTCCAATATGTATGCTATCCTCTAGTTAAATAAATCTATTGTGCCCCATTTCTATACATCACATGCCTACATGCTAATTGATAAATGCTAAATACTACTAAACACTTTATTGTATATGTCCATAGTCCATGCTCCAAAATGCGATATGTACATACGAGTGTATGACAACCTCTAATTAAATAAATCCATAGTGCCCTATTTCTAGGCATGCACGCTACTTGATGCATACATGATACTTGATGAAATATTAAATACTTTTAGGCACATTAGCATATAGTCCGTGGTCTATAGTCCAAAATGCAATATGTATGACATCCTATGTTTAAATAAGTGCATCGATCCATATTTTTATGCAACACATGCCTATATGCTTGATGAATCTAAAGAGTATGGATTATTTTGCTACTTAGTCCATGGTCCTTAGTCCAAAATCTAATGTGTATGACATACCCTATTAAATTAAATGCGTATTACCGAATTTGATATATCATGTGCCTATATACTACTTGATAAATGCTAAAAGTATAGATCACTCTATTACATAGTTCATAGTATACTTATGTACTCAAGTCTTCTTATATATACTCCAAATCCCTCGGACCACCAAGATATTCCTTACATATAAATCCCAAAAAATAATCTACAAGTACACAAATTGGATTTTTTTCTATTATTTTAATCTACTACATACTTAGATCACCAACATGTACCCCCTCCCCCGCCCCCCCACCCCCCCACCAGCTTCCCTCTTCCTCGCCCAACTTCCCTCCCACCCTTGGACTCAAAACCAGCTCACAAAGTGCCTTCACCATTAGCTTGCGGTGGTCATTTTGGCGAATTTGGTTGCTCCTCCCAACTCTCCCATGCTACAAACTCCACTCTCCCATGCTACAGGTATGTGCGCTTGTGCTCTTTCCTTGTGTATTTATGTGACTCTTGTGTGTGCATAAGCAGAGAGAGAGTTGAGTGTGTGTGTGTGCACAAGAGAGTTGAGTGTGCGCTTGTGCTCTTTCCCTATGTATTTCTGTGACTCTTGTGTGTGCATGTGTGAAAGAGAGTTGAGTGTGTGTTTGCATAAGAGAGAGAGGGAGAGAGTTGAGTGTGCGCTTGTGCTCTTTCCCTGTGTATTTATGTGACTCTTGTGTGTGCATAAGAGAGGTAGAGAGTTGAGTGTGTGTATGTGCAGTAGAGAGAGAGAGAGAGAGGTGTGTGTATGTGGAGTAGAGAGAGAGCCATAAACATGGAACCCAAGATTTTAATGTACCAAAACCTTACTATGGTTGATGGGAGCGGGGATCTATTTTCAAGTGGAAATGGATTCATTTGTTTTTGAAAGTAGATTCCATATATATGGAACCCAAGATTATAACATACCAAAACCTTGAACCATTGTTGATGGGAGTGGGGATCTATTTCAAAATGGTATTGGAATCCACTAATGGTTGGAATGTGATCCCCTTTATTTGGGAGCGAGATCCCAAAATTGAAGAACTAGGGTCCTTGCGAGATCCTTAAGAGGAACTGTGGGATCGAGGTTCCGGAGCATAAATGCCACCCTACCCCCAAGGTTCCCTTAAATCTGGGTACGACATTTATGTAGGACATTTATGAGATCTAGGAAAGTGTAGTAGCTGCGGGATTATGGAAAGGTCTGAAGTGGGTAAGGCTTTGAGTGAGAAACTTCACAATCAATTCAAGCTATTTTTGGTACCCAAAAATTTTAAAAATATTCCTAAGTAGGTAATAACTTTTCTAGGATTTTTAAAAGCTGGCATCCTATTGTTTTTTTGGAAAGATGTTTTGGGTGGGTTCTTGATTACCATCCAAAATGGGGGGCAAATTTCTTAAGTTGGAGATTGAGAAACTTGTTGAGAGAAATTTTCCTAGTCCTTTTTACGAATCCTTTGGTTTATTAGAAGATCTCTAATGTGATAAGTATATTTACAAAATACGATATAGTAGAGCCTAAAATGACATTATGGAAATATTTTCATACTCCTGGTTATCTTTTTATTGGTACCCAAAGTAGGACTAAAAATGACTGACCATGGACTGTTTTAAGCTTCTAAAAGTTCAAATAAATGAGTAAACTGCAAAAGTATATGGTTTCTAAAGTGCGGCAATTTTATAAAATATTATTGTTTTTGATACTTGGGTAATTTTTTTATGTTGAAACCTGATATTAACCTTGAATTCTGTATTCTGTTGGAGATTAGATTGTGATGTAAATATGTATATCTATATCTGTTATATATGTATGTATATATGTCTCAGACTACTTGTTAAAAAAATAAAAATAAAAATAAATTTTCCATTGGAGGTCCCCTCTGAGAGCTCTAAGTAAGAAGAATCATGGGTTTTTGGAAAAATGCAAGATTACGATTCCGCCTGTTTACCTCCTGCATGGCTACTCTTCTTGGACTATCTAATGTAAAAAATGGATGGATGGCTAGTGTTTCCTTTCAGAGTTCGTCACATACAGCTCTGCAGGCCGTCTGATGTCAACAGTAGATGCCTGCAAGTATTAGCTTCTCCTCTCCATGCCCGTCTCAAGTTTTGAAGGACTTTGTGGAGATGGATGATTCCTCCCAACAATCTATTGCTTACATTGGATTGTTGAGGGTCCTGTTTATATCCATGCAGGATATAAACAGGTGTATGCTATATATTTTCCCATGGAAAAGTGCCTTGTGGATTTGAGAGAGAGAGAGAGAGAGAGAGAGAGAGAGAGAGAGAGAGAGAGAG